ATAGGCAAAATAATCTACATATTACCCAAAATGTGAAGTCGCTAGACATGTATATCAGATATACAGAAAACAAAGTATGTTAGATATTGCCTTTTGATGAGAGGAATGCATCAAAATTTCATGCATCTGGTCAATGGTCTCCAGCATGTCTAGACTGTAAACATCACAATAAAACAATGTCAGTAGTCCAACAGTACCTTCATGTGCATGTTGAAAATTACAGGTTAAGTGAACTTAGGAGAATGGCAAGATGCCCAGATCGTACCTTCATGGTCCGCATCTCTTCTAAAAGCGACAAGTATGTCCATGTCTTGCTTTGAGTCCCTTGCTCTATTATCGAGTGCTCTCATTGCATCGCCCATCTTCTCCGCTACTTGCTTCCCCTTCTCTTTATCCACAAGACCACAACCTGAACAATGGAAAATAAACGACTATGATTAAACTGAAGCAGGCAAGATGTACCTGCTAGTCTGGCATCAAGGAAGAGCCCAGGGCTGCCAGATTGAGAATGACAAGGGAAAGATCTTGGGTGGCAGCTCGCCTGTCCACCTCCATGGCCACGCCCTCCACCCCTGCAGGTCGACACGCGCACCCACCGGGTGGATCATCGACTCATCGTCCGAAACCGCAAGAAACGGAGGGAAACACGCGCGAGACAAGAGGGAGTGATGAAGTGTGGATCGTGTTCGTACCTGGGAAGCGGCGGACGAAGGCGCGGATGCGCTGGCCGCAGCCGCTGCAGCGGTGTTGTTCCTCGTGGTCACCGCCATCGCCACCATCACCATAAGATTACGGACGGGTTGCAGCGTGGAAGGCTGTCGGCAGGGTTAGCAAAGGGAGTTGCTCTCTAACCGATGGGCCGCTTGGCCTGACCACTCGCTTACTGGCCCAACCAATGAGATGAGCCTAAAAAAGTCACGGGAGTAGCTGCCCCAGGCAAGCAGCGCCCCACACGCATCCGACGGACATAAACGGCCAGATCAATAAAACGGACGGCCGAAAATTCAAATCGCTGTTAGGGCTCGCTTTAGGTGCGGTTATACTGTCCTTAAATATCCCTTGTTCCTCGGCGGCTATTTATTTCGCAAATATCTAGATGACTCAAGATTTTGTTTGGTTAACTACACCTTGTTAGGCTTCTCTTTCCAAGGGAATTGATAATTCAAATACGTCCGATCACTGAAATACGTCCGATCGTAGCACGCGTTGGATCACACCAGCGCCGGATCACATCATCGGCCGACCATAACCAAAAAAAAAGCAAGTATGCTTAGTATTTGTATGTGCGATCACAAAAAATTATCAGTCCATGCAAAAAATGGAATTTTCTGCCCCGCTGGATCGTTTGCTCCGAGCCTCCAAGCTCTATCTGCCATCGCCACTGTGTAGGCCGCCTCAACCTCCGCTTCCTTCTCCAACGCCTCTGCCTCCTCCATGTCCACCTGCACCATCCTCTCCAGCTCATCTTTCTGCCGCTACAAGATGTTGAAACGGACGGCTTCCATCATCATTCTCGCGTAGTCATCTAAATCCTCCAAATTCAAGGTGTCAGACTAGGTGTAGTCCTCCTGCGTGCCCAACTATGTGTATGTGCCGAAATGGGTGTAGTCGTGCTGCATTCCCGGCTAGGTGTAGGTGTCGGACTGAGTGAGCTCCGAGTCATCCACCCTCATGGAAACCTTCTCCTCTACCTCACTATTTGAGGACATCTCCATGTCCGCATCGTCGTACACCGACCCTTCCACTTTAGGCATAACAGAGAACAGCGTGTGGGCACTCATCTTCTCCATGCCTGTTTTTCCTGTTCGGACAAGCTGCAGCGAAGAACACTTCGAGAAAAGCAATGGCGCCGCGTTGACTTGACGATGGAAAGCACTTGCCTAGCGGCGGTTGCTCTGGACTTCCTATCGAACTGCTTGGAAGCGTAGAAGTACGCAGCCTTGTAATGCTCTGGCCATGTCGGCGTCTGCACGGTCGGCGACGGCAGCAGGGCACCGCAGAAAAAGGCCCTGACCTCCACCACGTACTGGACCAACACGACCACCGCCACCAACACGCCTTCCGCTGGCCTTCTGCTTCTTGAGCGTTTCAACCTTTGCAACCTTTGTTTTCACGGGACGATTTGCCATGTTGCTGAGTTGATCTACCAAGTGAGCATAATGCTCAAATGCTCCACCACTAAGTCTCTTCTGTGTCCATGCGTTGGCAGCAGGAGGGAGGAAGATAGTGGGAGAAAAGATCAGGAATTATGGGAAGAGCGGCAAGGTGGACGAAAAGAGTGGGAGATTTTGTCACGGTAACAGTGCGGTCAGCTACAAAAGTGCAGGCTCCGTCTCAGTTTGGGTGAGCCAATAGTGTCAGGGTCATACGTGGCTCGTGTTCGGACTCCCACAAAGTCCCTCAGGTTTGGTTTCGTTTTACGGGAAAGTTATTATCCGGACTGCTCGGTGTACTGATGTGGTCGGTGTTAGATGACATGCGGGGTCCGGACAACTATGTCCGGAGGGATACGGCAAGTTTAAGGGTCGTCGTTGGAGATGCCCTTAGATGGTCTCTTTTTGTTCCTTTGTCTTTACATTTTCAATCTAATAAAGAAAGAAAAGGAGAATTGCACCGACCAGATCAGCGGCACAAATTGTGAATGAGAGGGACGGAGCATGAAGCCTGCTGCAACGCTGCAGATAGGGGGGAGAGTGAGAGAGCAGAAGTAGCAGGCGTGGCCTCGGCGAGGCTAGCTACCACCCTGCATGCATGCACGTGTACTCCAATGAAACATGATGCATGCATCCATGCGTGTGCATCAGGCTGAACGTCCGCGTACGTTTCGTTGGCACCGATCCCGATCCGGCCGAGAATTCCGTCCTCCACTCCAATTCGGTTTGGGGATGAGCTCTTAATCTGTTGCGGTCGTTCCCTAGCTAGCAAGTTATATAACAAGCCAAGACCTTCAACTCAAACACACGCGCGCCCGACCGATGTCGCCACGGAAACGCCCACGAAGTAACATATGTGCGTCGACACCGATGGTGTTCGAGATCACCACAACGCTCCCTACTGATCTCTTGCTCGAGATAATGGCACGCGCCGACCTTCTCATGGTCGTCCGTGGCGCGGCTGTCTGCAAGCACCTCCGTCGCAATATCCTAAGCCCGCCGTTCATCCACCGGATCACCCAGCAAGCATCTCCGAATATCTTCGCCCTTCTCTGCACCTACGCTGTCAGACACCTAGCCTTGGTATACTCGGCTACACCGGCCTCTACATCTTACCGCCACAACCATTTCTCACCATCCAAGTTGCGCAATGCCGAAAAGAATACCCTTGGTCCATACTGCCCTGTGGCATCACGCGGCGGCCTGGTCGTCCTCAGCATGAACACATGGCCCAAGTCCAAGGGCTGTTTTGACCTATGTGTGTACGACCCCATGATGGACCAATTCACCTTCCTCTCGAAACCACCGGATGAAACAGAGAGTAGCATTTGCAATGAGCACAAATACGTTCTGCTCACCGCGACAGATGGCCTGGACTGCTCTTTCATGCTGCTCTCCATCATTTTCAACAAATCAAGCATGAAAGTGTGCACTGCCACATCCTCCTCTCCTACCTGGGGGCCTATCACTTGTGTGAAACACCATGACTTCACATGGTGGTCGATAAATGGCTACAAGGACCCCGCAGTCCTCCGTGGAGGTGTCATCCACTGGCCCAGATACACCGGTGACCAAATTGTGACCTACAATGTGCGCACATGTATGCCGGGACTTGTGAAGCTCCCACTCACAAAACACAGCGCAAGGAAGTTCCATTTGGCAACGTCCCCAAATGGGAACCTGCTTAAACTATTGGATTTAGACGGGTTCAAGATATCAGTGTGGCTACATCTCCCTACAGACACTACAGGTGGTGATTGTGGTGGCAGTGATTGGGTGTTGGAAACAGTGATTGACATAGAGGAGAAGCTACGGTTCTTATGCCCAAATATCCCTGTTGGGGGTGGCCTTGATGCACTAGTTCAGTTTAAGGTCTACGGGAAGAGGAGCGGCGACATGGTCCTACGACAGTTACGATATGAGAAAGGCTACGAGGTTATTTATTTAAAGAAAAGGGAGATGCATCCTGAAAAACGAAGATCCATAATCTTGGAGAATGACCTGCTATCTCGCCTACAAACCATGAAAGTGTTCTCCTAGCAAGCTGGACAAGTAAGTAGTGTGTGATGCAAATGAATTCTAACATCTCGGTTGTAATATTTTTACTGTGCTTTGTAATTCATGCTATAGCTTTTTATTATGTGTTTATGTATGAATATGTAGTGGACTTGCATGAATACAACCACTTCTTCTGTTAAAACAAAAGCAAATTAGTACAACATGAATAGTATGTAACATGTGAACCTGTGCATGTTCCTAATTTTATGATGAAAAAATGTTCATGTGACTCAAGTTTTTTGTGCATGAGTGACGGGGATGGATTTTCGGCCTTTTTTTTTATCAAAAGGGGTTTCCCCCCACCCCATTTTATTGCAAATGGGGCACACAGCCCAGGCCGAGAGTTTATAGTACTCGGATCTAGCGAGAGTAGCAGAGTCAGAAAAGTTATAAGAGTTACATCCTCAAACGGAACAGGAAAAGGCTAACAGGCTAACAAGATACAAGCCAGAAATCGCTACTGATGGCAAAGGATTTTCGGCGATCCGTACTCAAATTTATTGCTGCCCCAACACAACCAAAGGGATACATAAAAAAACTCCTAGCATTTTCAAAACTTTTATAGTTTGAGTCTGTATTGTTTTATAGTCTTTCTGTGTCGTCTTGCGTTGATACTGTCAACTCAACATGTACCTTGCCAAGCTGCTTGAAGAGGACTGGGGATACTTATGCTCTCCGATCTGCTACGTACAGCTCAAGGCTCCTTATAGTCTTGGGTATGTCGGATAACATATGGGCCTGACAAGAGACGGCCGAAATCAAACACGGCCAACTTTTCTGGTTGATGCGTCACACCCCAAGCTTGCACAACCGGGTAAGTTTCTTCACCTCCTTGAGGATGGTCATTCCGCCCATACAACTCACACTAACAACACAAAGAGTATGTAAGGCCGTCAGGTTGCTGATTCCTCCCGCATGAACCTTAACACCATCATCATCGCTTCTTAGACCACCAGCTGCACGACGCAAAACCACGTGCCATGTTCTCCCTCGTGACAGTGTTGTTGATTTCAGGCCCTCATGCATCTTCAGCTAGATGTCTCCTTGTGCCATCGCCATCTGTTGCAGTGGCTAGTAGGCTTGTGCTCGTATCACCTACCACTAGTGTTGTTGGTTTGCTTGTGCTCGTGCCATCACATCCCCCTTCTGCTACCGCTATGCCGTGGACACTATGTCATCACTGTCTTCGGGTGATACTAATGCCCCACCGTCTTCCATCTTTCTTGATCTACCTTCCCCCTCAAGTTTGTTCTCAAGCCTGCGTTCCCCTCTTCATGGGATGGTTTATGGCTGGAGCCGACATGAACATACTGCAGCTTCACTAGCTTGATGATAGCATGTGGCAGTATGGCTACTTTGGTGTGACTGACATCTCGAGTCTTAAACTGCCTGAAATCACCCAATGAATCTGGCCCACGAGTAGTATCTCTGCATCCTCGTACAACAAGAAACTTGAGACGAGCCAGTGGCTTCCCAATCTGTGTTGGCTATGCCCAGGGAGGAAGAAATAGGCTCACGCTCAAGGTAGAAGAAGACTCACGCACACAACACACGCACGGGAGAAGAACACACAGAGTCGGGTGCACACGCACTTGTACTTTTCTGTTGTTCTCTCGTGTCCAAATAAAATAACATGATACAGCACTTTCGCTTTGGTAGACCCCCCTAAACACATTGACGGCTAAGATATCTCTATACCCCTTCATAATAAAAGGTAGGATAGTCCTTTTACCCGTGCCCATACGCGGCCTGCATACATATACTCGCCCCTTTTTTTCCTCGCGGCGCCGTCTGCTGTTTTTCACTTTCTTTTTAAAAGAAAAAAGAATGCAAGTAACATGACTTGAACTCAAGACTTGTTGGTCTAAGGATGACTACACTAACCAACTAGGACACCCTAATGCTTGAAAGTAGTACCTTTTTTTTCTTCTACTTCAGTTCGTGGCTGGGCCGGCCCATTGTTGAATCTATCATTTCATCATTATTTCTTTTTCGTTATTTCTATTTGTATTTTTTGTTTCCTTTTTCAGAAAAGGCTCATGCTTATAAAATTTTGTTCAAAATTTAAAAATGTTAGCGTTTTCGATTTTTGTTCATAAAGGACAAATATTCGCATTTAAAAAATAATGTACAGATATGTCCAAAAATTCTTCGTTTAAATAGAAGGGGTGAACATTCTGTTCGCGGAGCTAGTTGGGACTAAACTTTGGTCTTAGGAGGGGACTGAATTTAGCAGTAGCGCTGGTTAGAGGAAAGCGCTATGGCTATGTACCATAGCAGTAGCGCTTTTTACGTATGAGCGCTACTAGTATACCTAGCCTGCCTGCAACGGTCTGGCAATTATAGTAATAGCGTGTTTTATAAATACAACGCTACTACTATATGCATAGTAGCAGCGGTCTTGCTTCCCAAGTGCTACTGCTATTTAGCAGCAGCGCTTCCTTACAAAAAGCGCTACTGGTGAGCTCCTGTGTATATGCATTCCCTAGTAGTGATGGACGGCCGCTACGTCTGCGTTGACTACGGGCGAGCACTCACGTCGACGCATACGGCCCCGCCTCCGTGCCTCCCCTCCTGCTCCCGATCGGATCAGGAGCGCCACTGAAAAGAATATCGAACAATTTTTCTTACCTCACCGATGACTGCGGGTTGAATAGCAAAAATAGCAGGGACTTTGATGTGGAGCATCCTACGATCATCTCCATGTACACCTTCATAGCACCTCAAGCCCCGAGAGGACCTATCGGACTTAAGATGAACCCACTCATCTTTGAGATTGACACGAATATCCATTGGACTTGGTCGCTACCTCGCCATGGAACATTGTGCGTCATTAGTTACGAGGATGACCTCCACCAAGCATCTTGGGAGTATCCCGGAGGCCAAGGAGAAGGAACCCAAGGCCACAAGGAAGGAGGAGTTCACCAAGATCAATTCAGCACCTCCCAGGCGACCCCGTGCCCACGGGCCTCCAAGATCCCATGCGCACGGGCCTCCCAGAAGGATTCTGTAACCCAGACGCGGACGGTCCCTGGCCACTGTAGCACCCCGTGCGCACGGGCCTGTACCGTGCCCACGGGACCCCCATGCGCACATGCCCATCACGATTCCAGCCTAGATCTCCTGTTTGGGCCTCCACTTCTTCCCCCTCCTCCACCTACCCATATATTTCATACCTAGACTATTCGTTAGGATCAACAAAGTACATGATATGATCTTGAGAGCTTTGCTCCTATCTACCCTCTCCCATGGAGATCTAGACCTCCTAGGAGAAGATCCCTAGTGGAAGACCTAATCTAGGGAAGGATCCCCATCATAGGATCATCAAGACCTCATCTCCCTTTGGGATTTGGGATAAACTTTACCTTGTGGTATTTTCCCTTTGTTGTTCATGTACATTGTGGATCCATGTGTTGATAGTCTAGTGGATGTGTAATTGGGCTTGTTCTTGAGTGTCCCTCTTGTGATTTCCCCTCTTGTTCTTTGTGTTCTTCGCGTTCTTCATGGATTTCCCTCCAATTCATAAAAGATTTCCACAAAGGATCTCCACCCTACAACATCTTGGTATCATGAGCCACGTTGATACTGAATGAGTCTTCCCCACCATTTTCTAGCCTAATTTTGTATGACCTAATCTAGCCGAATTTGGAGTCTTCCCCACGTTTCTCGCAATTTTTTGGTTCTCGTGAGATTTTGTTTTGATCCATGATTTTGTGGTTTGGCAAGTAGATCTTTGCTTTCCCCAATTTTTCTTTCCCCACTCAAATCTGAGCCCCAAAATCATGAAATTTTGGCCACCGACGTGCCCACGGGCCCTCAAAAAGTTCCGGGTCATCCCATGTCCATGGCACGTGTACCGTGCACACGGGACCCCTTGTCCACGGGACTTAGACCCCGTGCGCATCCCCCCCCCCCCGTTCAGCCGACAACACTTCACTGTTTTCTCGATAACTCTCGCATCCAGAGTCCGATTTCGATGTTCTTTAGCTCGTTGAGTAGTTATTGGCATCCCCCATCCATCTAGATAGGATCCAACAACATTTGACTCCATCCAAAGTTTCACATTTTTGACATCTTTGCCTAGGCCCTCCACCATATCATTGGCAAAACCACCGTAGCTTTCCGCAACCTAACCCATTTTTCTCCATTTAGCATTTGTGGTTGCTTGAGTTGTGATTTCAGTCTCATACGGTATTTTTGTTGGAAATATGCCCTAGAGGCAATAATAAAAGTATTATTATTATATTTCTTTGTTCATGATAATTGTCTTTATTCATGCTATAACTGTATTATCCGGAAATCGTAATACACGACATAGACCATAATATGTCCCTAGTAAGCCTCTAGTTGACTAGCTCGTTGATCAACAGATAGTCAAGGTTTCCTGGCTATGGACATTGGATGTCATTGATAACGGGATCACATCATTAGGAGAATGATGTGATGGACAAGACCCAATCCTAAGCACAGCGCAAGATCGTGTAGTTCGTTTGCTAGAGCTTTTCCAAATGTCAAGTATCTTTTCCTTTGACCATGAGATCGTGTAACTCTCGGATACCGTAGGAGTGCTTTGGGTGTACCAAACGTCACAACGTAACTGGGTGACTATAAAGGTGCACTACAGGTATCTCCGAAAGTGTCTGTTGGGTTGACACGGATCGAGACTGGGATTTGTCACTCCGTATGACGGAGAGGTACCACTGGGCCCACTCGGTAATGCATCATCATAATGAGCTCAAAGTGACCAAGTGTCTGGTCACGGGATCATGCATTACGGTACGAGTAAAGTGACTTGCCGGTAAAGAGATTGAACGAGGTATTTGGATACCGACGATCGAATCTCGGGCAAGTAACATACCGATTGACAAAGGGAATTGTATACGGGGTTGTTTAATCCTCGACATCGTGGTTCATCCGATGAGATCATCGTGGAGTATGTGGGAGCCAACATGGGTATCCAGATCCCGCTGTTGGTTATTGACCGGAGAGTCGTCTCGGTCATGTCTGCATGTCTCCCGAACCCGTAGGGTCTACACACTTAAGGTTCGGTGACGCTAAGGTTGTGAAGATATGTATATGCAGTAACCCGAATGTTGTTCGGAGTCCCAGATGAGATCTCGGACGTCACGAGGAGTTCCGGAATGGTCCGGAGGTAAAGAATTATATATAGGAAGTGCTGTTTCGGCCATCGGGACAAGTTTCGGGGTCACCGGTATTGTACCGGGACCACCGGAAGGGTCCCGGGGGTCCACCGGGTGGGGCCACCTGCCCCGGGGGCCACATGGGATGTAAGGGGTGTGCCTTGGCCTTTATGGGCCAAGGGCATGAGCCCAAAAGGGCCCATGCGCCTAGGGTTTGGGGGAAACCCTAAAGGGGGGCGCCCCCTTGCTTGGGGGGCAAGCCCCCAACCCCTTGGCCGCCGCCCCCCTAGGAGATTGGATCTCCTAGGGCCGGCCTCCCCCCTTGGGCACCCCTATATATAGTGGGGGAGATGGAGGACATCATACTACAGCCTTTTTGGCGCCTCCCTCTCCCCTGTTACATCTCTCTCTCGTAGTATAGGCGAAGCCCTGCTACTGTGACGCCCTGCATCCACCACCACGCCGTCGTGCTGCTGGATCATCATCAACCTCTCCTTCCCCCTTGCTGGATCAAGTAGGAGGAGACGTCTCCCGTCCCGTACGTGTGTTGAACGCGGAGGTGCTGTCCGTTCAGCACTTGGTCATCGGTGATTTGGATCACGTCGTGTTCGACTACCTAATCCCCGTTCTTTGAACGCTTCCGCTCGCGATCTACAAAGGTATGTAGATGCATCCGATCACTCATTGCTAGATGAACTCATAGATGGATCTTGGTGAAACCGTAGGAAAATTTTGTTTCCTGCAACGTTCCCCAACAGTGGCATCATGAGCTAGGTCTATGCGTAGTTCTTCTTGCGCGAGTAGAACACAATTTGTTGTGGGCATAGATGTTGTCAACTTTCTTGCCGCTACTAGTCTTATCTTGCTTCAACGGTATTGTGGGATGAAGCGGCCCGGACCAACCTTACACGTATGCTTACGTGAGACCGGTTCCACCGACTAACATGCACTAGTTGCATAAGGTGGCTGGCGGGTGTCTGTCTCTCCTACTTTAGTTGGAGCGGATTCGATGAAAAGGGTCCTTATGAAGGGTAAATAGAAGTTGACAAATCACGTTGTGGCTTTCACGTAGGTAAGAAAACGTTCTTGCTAGAACCCTAATTCAGCCACGTAAAACTTGCAACAACAATTAGAGGACGTCTAACTTATTTTTGCAGCAAGTGCTTTGTGATATGATATGGCCAAAGTTGTGATGAATGATGAATGATCTATATATGATGTATGAGTTGTTCATGCTATTGTAATAGGAATCACGACTTGCATGTCGATGAGTATGACAACCGGCAGGAGCCATAGGAGTTGTCTTTATTTTTGTATGACCTGCGTGTCATTGAGAAACGCCATGTAAATTACTTTACTTTATTGCTAAACGCGTTAGCCATAGTAGTAGAAGTAATAGTTGGCGAGCAACTTCATGGAGACACAATGATGGAGATCATGGTGTCATGCCGGTGACAGGATGATCATGGAGCCCCAAGATGGAGATCAAAGGAGCTGTGTGATATTGGCCATATCATGTCACTGTTATTATTTGATTGCATGTGATGTTTATCATGTTTTGCATCTTGTTTACTTAGAACGACGATAGTAAATAAGATGATCCCTTACAACAATTTCAAGAAGTGTTCTCCTTAACTGTGCACCGTTGCTAAAGTTCGTCGTTTCGAAGCACCACGTGTTGATCGGGTGTGATAGATCCTTACGTTCACATACAACGGGTGTAAGACAGTTTTACACATGCAAAACACTTAGGGTTAACTTGACGAGCCTAGCATGTACAGACATGGCCTCGGAACACAGAGACCGAAAGGTCGAACACGAGTCGTATGGAAGATATGATCAACATGAAGATGTTCACCGACGATGACTAGTCCGTCTCACGTGTTGATCGGACACGGCCTAGTCGACTCGGATCGTGTGACACTTAGATGACTAGAGGGATGTCTAATCTGAGTAGGAGTTCATTGAATAATTTGATTAGATGAACTTAATTATCATGAACTTAGTCTAAAATATTTACAATATGTCTTGTAGATCAAATGGCCAACGTAGTCCTCAACTTCAACACGTTCCTAGAGAAAACCAAGCTGAAAGACGATGGCAGCAACTATACGGACTGGGTCCGGAACCTGAGGATTATCCTCATAGCTGCCAAGAAAGAATATGTCCTACAAGCACCGCTAGGTGATCCACCCGTCCTACAGAACCAAGACGTTATGAACGCTTGGCAAACACATGCTGATGACTACTCCATCGTTCAGTGCGGCATGCTTTACAGCTTAGAGCCGGGGCTCCAAAAGCGTTTTGAGAGACATGGAGCATATGAGATGTTCGAAGAGCTGAAAATGGTTTTTCAAGCTCATGCCCGGATCGAGAGATATGAATTCTCCGATAAGTTCTTCAGCTGTAAGATGGAGGAAAATAGTTCTGTCAGCGAGCACATACTCACTATGTCTGGGTTACATAACCGCTTGACTCAGCTGGGAGTTAATCTCCCGGATGACGCGGTCATTGACAGAATCCTCCAGTCGCTTCCACCAAGCTACAAGAGCTTTGTGATGAACTTCAATATGCAGGGGATGGAAAAGACCATTCCTGAAATATTTGCTATGCTGAAATCAGCAGAGGTAGAAGTCAAGAAGGAACATCAAG